CCATCCTGGAGAATTTTCTCTTAGGGATTAGGGTTCTATTTCCTTACAAGCAGGAAAAGTGATCAAAATGCACCCAAGGCAGATCTATACCCCAAAACCAAAATAATGAAAATGGTTAGTCATGTCTTTGTTCCTGGAGCCACTGTCACCTATCAAAAACTTCCCTCTCAGGTATCAATTCCCCCCACGGTTTCTTGACACCCCCCACAGCAAAACAGTGACATGTATGAGGTGAGTCACAAGCATTTTGTTACCCAAAGGAAGTGGGTGATTTTAAAAATTTGTTTTGTAAATTTCAATGGATTTGAGGTTATACCACTCATCTGCTCATTCACTCACTTTAGGAAGTTACCACAGTTGTTCATGACTTTGGATAAACCTGTGTTGCATATGTGAATGCCCTTCATCATGGGAGAATTTGTTTTCTCTGCTTATTCCCAGAAGGATCTTAAGAAGTTGCCATTCCCTCGGGGACCAAAAAAAAAAAAAAAAAGAAGAAGAAAAACATAGGTAGAAGAGGATCAAAGAAACTTACTTTCTTTGCCCTTTTGGTAGGGCTAACTCAGATGCAGTCATAGTGGCCTCCTATGACTTAATGGCCTCCAAGCCAGTGACAGACCAGCCTCCATCCAGTATATCATTATGATCATCTGTGAGTCTGAGTGATCATATGTACATGTCCATATATGTGACTTTGCGTGTCCCGGCACGTCTGCACTGGCGTTCTGATGTGACACCTGTTAAACTGCACAGCCAAATAGCTGACAATTGCTATGGCTTTAGGGTTAATTCTGGAGAATAAGATGCAATCTCTATTTAATACAGGTGGGTAGAGATAACAGGAAAATGGCAATCCACAGAAACAGTGGATTTCCTTGAAATCACTTTTAATTGTCCAGAGAGAATAGGTCATGCTGAAGCAATTTAGCCTTTAACCACTAAAGGTACGATTTAGAAATGTTCCCGTGTCCCATTTTTTTCTCTACTCTTTTTTTTTCCCTGCCAGTTGCAACCAGCCCAAGTGACTACTTAGAGCCCAAGTGGTAAGTCCCAGAGAATAATAGTTTAGATAAAGAAAGCTTGTCAAGGCTTTCACTGCAGCCTTGTTATGTGGAAAGTCAGAGGCACTCCTGTTGCTCTGCTTTCAAACCTGAAGGCATCAAAGGGACAGGCAGGTCGTCTTTGTTTTAAACTCTTTTCCCCTGCTGTCAGCCTCTACTATTTCTCACCTCTTTAAAAATTAATTCAGATAAGTCCCACTGTGACGTTGGCCCAAAATGATTTATTTTAAAGAATGGTTTTAATGTTCTTGTTTAACAAGTGCCACCGAGGAAAATCTTTACCAGGCTGGGTATAAATGGGTCTCCCTGCTCAGATATTGACTGGGGTGGGGCAAAGCGGAGGTACTCAGGAGAGGAGAGGAGCCTGGCTGAAGAAAGAGCACCCTCTCGCTTAGAGAACTGGAGATTGTGTGACATGGAAAAAGGCAAGAGGACCCCTTGGGCCTGAACATCAGTGACCCCACCGAAGGCTGCTTCCATCCTCGGCTTATCAGGCCCACCGCTAAGCCGACCAATGGTCTCTGAGACACACTTCATCAAACACTTAATAATTTTTCCATAATAGCCTTTAATACTAAAATGCATTAAATTTTTGAAGCAGAGAAAACACATTTAAGGGGAAACAGAGAACCACCAGATAAAAGGAAACAATGTGGCAGATAACACCATTTAAAACAGAACTGTAATAATTTAATAAAGCTGCTTTATCATCTTCATAAAATAGACAGTGGTGATTCTTTTTTGTCTTTTTTCTTTTTACAATGATTCAATCACTGTGAAAATGTACATAACATACAGATCAGCATATACAACAATTTCATCTTCATATAATCAGCAACAGAGACTGCTTAATGAGACATACTGTACTTGCATCCCTCTGAATTTCCACCCTGGTTTGACAGGTAAACAGTAATAGTGTCATCAGGCTCATTCCCCTCACTAGAGGAGCGAAGGCGTAAGCCTCTTGCAACTAATACCTTAGCATTCAAATAGCACAAGGAGGTATTTGTTGCTGAATTTCTAGCTTGAGCTAGTCTGGCTCTTGGTCATTAAAGTCTGTATCCTAGCCTTCCTCAGCTGAACGCCAGCCAGTGCCAGTAAAAATCTACTTAACCATTGCTGATAGGGTGTTAGTTGGTTGGTTTGCTAAGGTTGACAGCAACTTGCAGTTAGTAACAAGGTCATCTTTAATTGCCAACACAGCTGGAGCAACAATCAGCATCATCAGTTTTCCCTAATGACCTACAGTGCTTTCCAATCAAGATCAGGTTTTTGTGGGTTGTTCGTCACCAAGAGCACCTTACGATATATATTTCAGACAAGGTGGTGGATTTTCTTAGTTTTACAAAAGCAATATGAGTTCTATTTGAAATTAATTCACTTTTGCACAACAAGTGACCCACGGGCCAATTCCAGCCTCACAAGAAAACAAAGAGAGCTGCAACAACTTCATTAGGACAATGTGTTTTGCTCTGGAATATTTCATTATCAATATAAAGCCACCCGTCCCAGCCCCACCCCCACACACCCCCTTTGAATATTACTTTGTTACATACTTAAACTAAAGAACAACATCTCAATACACTTCAGTGTCAGCAGATACAATTTGACTCATGAAATGACATCCTTAAATGTAATTTTACCAAGAAGGCAAACACTAGGACTGTATACAATGGACTTCTTAAGCTCATTTAAGCCAGTTTTTTCAAAGTCAGTTAGGGTCTTACTACCCTAGGTAAAGAGCCAAATGGACCAGACTTGACAGGATGCTTTGGGGAACATTCAACATCCAAATGATCCCCATCATGGGAACTGGAATTCCAGCCAGAAATGTTATTATGTACAATAATAATCCCTTTCCCACCCTGGATGCCCAACTGAGCTATCCCCTGCACCCCTGCCTCTCCCTAAACTGCCCTTTGTCCTTGCTGCTTCAAGTGGACCACTTTTGTTCTGTATTGTGACGATATGATCGTGCTCATGAGAAGTTCAACTGAATTCCCTTCATACAATCAGTTGTGTGCTGAAGTTGACACTATCGGGATGATACTCTGAGTGGTTCCAATTTTCAGAATCCTAAGTTGTATCTCCTACATAACACCTGATTAGTGATCAGTGGGTCACCATGTCAGCGAATTAGTTTGAATGGGCACCTCAGGTGCAATTAGTTCTATTAGGCAGGTTAACTGCAGCAGTGACACAAAGTGTGGTCCCTAGACCTGCTGCATCAGGAATACCTGGGCAAAAATTCAACCTCTCCCCTACCCCAAACCTACTGGAATCAAGGTCAATCAACCCGTGCTTTCACAAGCCCTCACCCTTTAGTGGGCATCTGACCCAAAGGGATCCCTAATGCTAGGCCCCATCACCAGAGTTTCTGTTTCAGTTCTTCCAGGTGGGGGCAGAGAATCATCCTATCAAAAAGTTCAATGATGTTGAAACCAATGATGTTGCTGTTGGTCTAGGGACTATACTTTGAGTACCACTGCCCTTCAGCAAATGCAGGATCCCTTGGCCCGTTACCTAAATCGAGGGCCGTAACTTACCCTATTGGCTTTAAGAGGATCAAAGGAATGGTACATTTCATTCTGAACAGATTCAAGGGTTAGTCCAAAGAGAGAAAAGAAAGTCCACATAGCATGGCTCCCTTCTTCCTATTCCTTACAGATAGTATGTTCCCATATTTGGAGAAAAGCAATCAGTCAGTGCAAACTAAACACTTTACATTGCATGAAGAAGGTCACCTGCCCAAGGACGTGCCCAAAGCAGTTATTAGCAGAGCGAGTCAGGCCTCAATACCAACTCCTCCCCCAAAGGGACATGAGAACAAATGGACTAGAACTCCCTAGGATCTAGGAACTAAAATTTCTCCCTCCTGTTTAAATGTGTAATACATTTAGAGAAGGAAAATAAAGAATATTTGACCCTCTGGCCTTTGTGGCTTTTCATCAGACACACTGAAAAGGAGGGGCAGGGGAAACATGAGCCAAAGGGAAATTCAGGATCCTTGCAGAAAAATCCCTATTTTCAGGCACAGCCTGCCTATAAAACCAGCTTACAAAGCCCTCCTAGGATGCACTTGCGCTTCTGGGAGGATGTATACATCAGACAGGTGTAGAGAAAAAAAAGATATTTTCTTAATGAGGGGAATTCTCTGAACATGCTCAATAAAGGGTTTGGAAGTCAAAAAAGCTCTGACTGCCCACTGAGAATAAAGTATTTTCATAGGGAAAAAGGATTGGTCTATGTCTTGAAACTGAATTCTGAAAAAATATTGGAGAAAAATAAAAAATCAAGAGAAAAGCAAAATCAATGCTACTCCAACCATTTGAAACGTGACTGCTAAGAGACATGGCAGCCAGTGGCCTCTCGGGCTCAACAGCCGCATAATATTTAATGTTCCCACTTGCCGCAATCTTTTCAGCTCTCTTATTCCCACTGAGCATACTAAGAAATACACCTGCACAAAAGCTGTCAAATCTGACTTGAAAGTGACCTTGAGGTGGTAGCTAACAATCTAATATCAAGATGGATCTGGTGAGGAACAGTCTAAATTCTACAGGCAGCCATTATAACTAAAAGAGAAAAAAATTAATTTTGACTGTGTTAATCAAATAGTCACTTGCAAAGAGAAATAAATACCTAATTCCAACTCTATTACTAAAAGGAAATGAATTGAAGGGGGAAAACGAGTGTGGGAGAGAAAATGAAATGAGCCAAAATAAAGATGTTATGGTAATTGATCCCTAATTGTGTCAGTTTCAGAGGGAAAATTGCAGCCACACTAATATTTTGCATGAGGTAGTATTCAGCACTGAATAAGAAATAAGGATGAATTTGTAGCTTCACTATAGGTTCTTTTTTCAGAAATGTTCTTCCCCTACCTAACCCCATTCCCCACTGCCTTACCCACCCCCATCCCTCAAAATCCTCCCCCCACCCGTAAAAGAAAATATTCTCAGTTATGTATAAAACCAGGAACTTAGGCAAAAATAACTAAAACATATAAGATAGCTGACATCTAACCTAAACTTAAGAAAATAAATCCTCTTTTGCATTCTAGTAGTGCTCTATCCTCTAAGCCTTCTTTCTGGGTACAATTCCATTTCAAAAAAATGAAACAAATGAGAACAGAACTATAAAACTTGTTTCTCTAGAAACAACTCTTTTTAAGAAAAAGGCAGAGCGATGGTGACATAGCTGTTTACTTTTCAATAATGAACTCTTAGGCTGCACGAATACTATGTTGGCTAGTGAATATTAACAGACAGTTCATAAAGGAAGGAGTCGGAGGAATGTCAAACAAAAAAGAACGTGAGTAACAAACTTGTTAATAAAAAAGGTGTATTCCTAGCCTACAGCAAAGAGTTAGTTAAATCAAAAGGATTTTTATTTTAATAGTTTCCTGTTCACATTTTTAATTTTAAAAAGCATTAGTCATAAAAAGACGATTTCAAGTGTCCAAGTGTCTCCATTTAGAAGGCACGATGATTGGATTGACGCTCTTACCTGTTTCCTGTCTTTTCCTAAATGTACACTTTGTACTGTTTACTCCATCCCCATTTAGAAGCCTACGATGCAGAGCAACATGGAGCTCTCAATTCCAGCCCATGACGTGCTTTGCAGTCTAATTCTAATTGTGATTGGGAAACACTGAATCAGGAAGTCTGTGTCTGAAAAGATGCTAATTTAGATCTCAAAATAGATTCAGTCTTTTTGAGTGTTAGATGATTGGAGACAGGGAATTTCGGAGCCCGGAACTGATAACTTCAGGAGCAACTTTCCTGTTCAGGGCCTGAAATTTAGAAAAATGGATCTCATAAAATTTTCAGCACAGTATTTCTGACAACTGCAAATTAGATAGCAGAATATCCAAAAATGACTTTCTGCGATGATCTATCATGGATCTGGGCAGAAGACTGAAAGGCAGGAAAAATACTTTGTAAGGTGGTGAGCAACCAGTGCGTGGGTTCCTCCACACATGACTATCCTCCAAGTACTCAACCTGTGGTGTGGTGTTGCTCGTTCAATCGCCGTCTCAGTTGTTTGCACTTTGTTTTTGTCTGTAATTTTATTTTTTTTTAAGAAAGAAAAACACCAACCTCTAAAAGCCTTTTGCCATCACCACACACAGCAATTTGCAATATCAAATACAATAATAGCACAGCTAGCAAAAGGGTTCTTAAAGCAGGGGTGTCCACAGCAAAGTAGCGGCATTGGAAAGTACTTGAGCTTCAGAAACAACCTTTTGGGGGCTCGATTTCACATCACTGAATCAATGAATAGTACACAATAAATGACCGTTAACTTCTCTACGCTACAAAAACAGTGGCGAGCTTATTAAAGGTGCCCAGAGCTTGGGGTATTTTTTTGTTTGTTTGTTTGTTTTTGTGGTTTTTTTTTTTTTTTTGCTTTTTTTTAAATGTAATCCTCCACAAACAATGGTAATTTATATTATAATTCTGACATAGAAAAATATATAAATTCAAACACTTAATACATAATACTTTTCACAACTGAATTTGTCTCTGTTTCCCCAACATCAAGGCCCCATGAACAACTCAAGCCAAAGCTAATTTGCTCCAACTGAACACCCCTGCTGCCTGTTGAAACGAGAGGGATTGTCACAGAATGATAGTCATTTATAAACAATACATTTAGGGAAAGCTCTGAAATACAGCCACTCAAGAACCAACCATTGGTGAGCCATTAAAATGATCAGCTCCTGCTTCTTCTTAGCTAACCAGCATGGTATGTCTCCCTTCAGGTTTAGAGAACTATATCCTTCAGACGCTTCACACCAGGAGATTCTTTGTCACGACCCTCCTTCAGAATGGGGTTGACCTCATGCACCACTTTCTCGCTGTCGGCTCCACGGGGCTCAGCTTCAGAGGGACGAGAAGGCCCATTGTTGGCATTGTTGACATACTGCTCCGGATCGCGGGCCGGAGGCGCCAGGGCAACGGTGTAAGACACAGAAGGCTTGGTGGGCATAGGGCTCTTGAGGTGCAGGGGGGAGGTGACAGGGCTAATCGCCTCACAGCCATTGCCCGCCTCCCGGATCGCGCTGTTGACCTTGGGGCTGCAGATGGTCACATCAACAGTCCGCCTGCCTTTCAGGGTGGGCCTCTCCTCAGCTGGGTGGTCGCTGACATCTTTCCCAAAGGTCGCGAAAGTCCGCTTGGTGGGGCCGCAGTCGTCATAAGCCTCAACATCAGCAGCAGTAGCTTCAATGGACAGTGCGATGATGTTCCGCACGTGCTCAGGGGACTTGGAGCGGGTGGGCATGGGGTTCCGAGGCATCCAGCACCTGTCAGAGTGGCCAAGAATCCGGCATTCTTCCCTGCAATGAAATCCTTCATTCTGATCTGTTTGGGGAAAACAAAATATCAATTTCATCAGCTTTTCCCAGGAATCATTGCTATTCCCCAGTGTTCTGGTTTCTTAGGTACCTACGGGCCCTTCTGGGAAATGGCACTTTTAGCGAGTCCTATCTTGCCTTTTGGGACAAGTGTGAAGAACTGGATTTTTAAAAGGCGGTAGTATCTCCCCCCAAAACCTCACCCACTCCCCCCTTTGTAATTATCATTTTTGTCACTGCTCCCACTATTGACAAATTTAACAATCAAAAGCAAAATATTTTGTGGTAAAAAAAAAATAGATTTTTAAGTTTATCCTGAGTGTCAAGGTATAAGAGTCAGTAATTTTATTGACAATTCCTGGTAAAACTCAACTACATTTGAAACTGAATCCAGCAGAAGAGGGAGTGGAGACAAATCAGGGAATCCACTAGTCAGGATATCTGAGAAGTCTTGGCCATATCTTTGAGCAACAGCAGTGCCAACCACGTTTCCACCCTACCCATCGCTGACATACAGTGCTGAAGTATATAGACTGGTATCATGCTTTCTTTGGAAAACTAATTACATCGCATCATTTTGACCACCAGTCTCACCAGCCAACTCATTAAGCCATTTACATGACTTGATGTCCCATCGGAAAGAATATACTGAGATCTCTTCCATCCAGCTGAGCTATAAGCTTCAATTGGCCCCAAGCACACATCACTCATAGGCTCAATATCACTTAATGATACCAAACTGGCTGTTTCTACTTATCTTCATCATCTGCAGTTTTATTAGGGTCATATATCTTAAAAGGAACAGATCTTCCATGGATCACTTTAACCCAGTCATGAACAATCTCAGTAGTTAAAACTCATGTTTTCCTCTTTTCACATCAGGTTCACTAAGTGTCAAGGTTCTCAGACAGGCTTTTGACATGGGCTTCACCAAAGCGTGGATCCAGGGTTAACTTCTGCCCATCCACTGAAAAACTGTTAATCTCTCCTTTATAGTCCTAGTTTTCCATATCCATTTGTATTTATGTTACATTCTTGCATGAGGATAACTTAATGAAAACTTTCATCACATTTAGCACACTCCACAATGCATCAAAATATGGGCACCTTAACATTTACAGAAAACCTTGGGGCAAGATCAGAGAAGGTTGGGAGACGAGAGACTGCAAAGACTGAAAAGGTATACACCAAAAAAATAGTCAAAAATATATGCTGTGATTGCTTTTCTGCAAGGGGAAGAAGTCTGCAATTCAGGGTCTTGCCTGACACTTGTCTGTATGTAACACACCTTCTTATACACTCGCATGTCTACTTGTTTCTTAATTGTTTAAAGAGTAAGTAGCATAGCAAAGCATGGCATTGCTCTGTCTCATTCATCAGTTATTTTGATGAAGAGATACATGGGAAGGGGCTCAAGAAATAATGGCTGAATTGAGCATATACTTCATCATTTAGAAAAAAAGGCACTGGAGGCAGTGAAATTATCTGTGGGCTAACCCAGGCTGAGTTCAAATTTCAATACTTAAAAGGCAAACAAAAGGTAATACCCTTTCAGCATACTGGATTTGCCAATTTATCTTTAAGATGGCCATTTAAAGCTCCCTCTTAGTGCTGGAGAATAAAACACTCAAAATTCGGCAGAGTTGGAACAAATAACAAATGAGAAGCAGCATCACCAGCAGTGCAAGTGCCCTCGACGTGGGTGGGACAATGCTTCTATAAACTCCAGCAATTCCACAAGAGGGTGGCACACCTAGCTCTGCAAAGGATTCATCAAAGTTCTCTCTTTGCCTTTGTCCTGCAAACTTTCAGTGCTGCCATCTGAGAGTTTATCATCATTCAACTTACATATGTTCCTGGGAGACAATGAGTTCGAAAGTAAAAGAAATATGTTAGGACATACTTGGGAAACACTTTGCATGGACCTAAACATTATGAGTGGAAAAGTCTCCAGCAGATCCACCCACAGTCAGTTTTATCCAAATCAAGTACTTTCCCCAGGAGATCCCAGGATGCCTGCAGTAGAACCGAATTCACATCTCCAGCATCTCCCAAGAAGATGTTTCTTTTCCATCACCTCTGAGGCTTATCTCATAAATTCTCAAGCACTCACTCTAAATAATTACTGTGAGGCTTTGCTTAAGGGTAGAAGGAAAGGAGGTATAAATGGGATAACAGTTCAATAATTCCATTTCTACAAGTCTCTGTAAGAGTCCCCTGAAAGTCAGCAAAGAATTGTCCAGAACGCTATGGGATACCTGTTCTTTGTGTCCCTCATTCTCGGCACAAAGGCATAGAGGCCTTTGCCATGAGCCCTCGAACCAAGGACATTTGACAAATTATGAAGAGAAAATCCTTGCTGACCTTCAGACTGAAATTACAGGTCACTTGCTTACATTCCTAAAACAGGACAGAGTGAAATACATACAACCTAGTAGAATCTTCCCAAAGTGCTGAGCATAAAGCTCTCATTCCTTTTTAGTTTTTAGTATCAAATGGATGTCTTCAAATCTAGAGATAAGATTTTTCTTCAGCACAATTCAGTAAGAGAGTGCCACCCATGTGTCACCCTGAATCCATGTACAAATGCCCCTTCCCAACACTGGACCGCCTCAAATGTGTGCTTGGATCCCCAGTACACACAGAGGGATGGTAGAAATCCTAGCGACAAACACCTCTAAGATGTTGTGAATTTAGGAAGACCAGAGGCAGAAACTCAGTCTTCTCAGAAGCTTCTCTGCAAAAACAGTTCTGATGTCAGCTTTCCATGGCCTAAACGAATAAATCACTATCTGGGAAAGAAAAAGGTAAACTCAGTGCCCTCAGCAATGCCGTCAGTCTGTCTACTCACCAATCTCACTACGCCTACCTCCATCCTAGACGAGCTAGAATAATATGCAATTTTCTTAGATTAATTATGTGAACTTAGTATGTGCATTGTTCTTACCTCATGCAAGTGAAGACTTGAATCTAAGACAATCATTAACTACTAACGTCTCACCCCTGCTTTAGATCTGGTATCTTTATTTCCTCCAATCCCTACCAAGGGCAGTGACTTGTGGCTTATCACTTTTGGTATCAAACTATAGTCGCTAGCATTTGTGTCAATACAATTAAAACAAAATCTAACCTAGCTTTAGTGTTCATAGACACATGAAATATAAAAGAAAACATGGTGAATACAGATAGGCGGGAAGAATGTCTTCCCAGCACAGGGTAACCCACATTCATAAATGTCCTGCAGGGGGGAGGGGAGGGGGGAAATTAATATCCTGCAGATGAATTACTTTTCAAAATTCAAAAATTCAGTTTAGTGTATATTAAAAGTGAGAAAGTCACAATACAAGGCCCCTTAAGAATAGCATAGATATAAAGCAAGCAGAGAGACTACTTCTGGAATTGCATGGGATGGGTAGGGATCATATGGCTGCCATCATGCAGTACTGTGCCTGGGAGTGGGGTATGACACCAAAGAGGAACTATTTTGTCTCATCACAAATAAACTGTCAAGATGCTGGTTCCAGCTGAAATAGAGGTAGGCTAACAATTCCCTAATTCCCTGTCTAGCATTCTCTTCTGGGCCTGTTTGTGACTCTATGCTTTCCTACATCTTTCTGTGATAGTATTGACATGAGCAAAGCAAAGCAAAATTTAAGATTCTAAAATCAACACATACTTGTGGAAATGCAAACACCTAATCATCTACAGATGAACAAAGGGAGGCAATTTTAATTCAAATGTACACATGATTAAGGGTGAATGATGAATCTGCTACTAGGTCTTCCCTGCTTCTCAACTTGGCCCTTGAATTTTCCCCAAAAAAAAAAAAGGAAGAAAGGGAGGGAGGGAGGAAGGGAGGGAGGGAGGGAGAGAGGAAGGGAAGGAGGGAGGGAGGGGGGAAGGAGGAAGGAAGGAAGGAAGGAAAGGAAAGAAGGAAGGAAGGAAGGAAAGGAAGGAAGGAAAAGGAAAGGAAGGAAAAGGAAGGAGGGAAGGCAGGAGGGAAGGAAATAACTGGAAGAGGGAGACAAATCTCGAGGCCATAGACTTCCTAGTTTGAAACAGATCAGATAACTTTAGACAAGAAATACAAAAAGAGAAGCTTCCTCATTCTACATTGTGACTGTAGTAAGTACTTATTTGGTCACAATTTATCATCGGAAACCTTTGTGAGAGAATCCCAAATCCCTCCAGAAAAAAATTTAAATCTTAAATAAAAGCATCAGTTTTGCGAGTGCACAGGAGGCCTAAGAGGCAGCAATGACTAAGCCATGATGGATAAGGAAGTAATTCAAACAGAAAAAGATCAGAATGTGTTATTTTGTGCAGATAACAGCAAAACTTTGTGCAGCAATTACTACCCTCCTTGGGACGTGGAACTGTTCTCTCTTCAGATGTGGGCAAACAATGTGCTTCCACACTAGAAAGAGCCTACCCACAGTCACAACCAAAGTTAAAAAAGAAAATGATGAAAACACCATCTCAGGCTTTGCTAAAACATTCAAAGTCCTGCTAGAATAGAAGAGCTCAGAGGCTCTGTTGGGTTTGTATAGATGTCCGGCCACAATGGATGTGTTTGACAATGCTGGCCATTCTCTGCTGTTATTCAGACTTTGGTGGTATTAACTCAAAGAACCCAATGATCAGAGGCAAAAACGCCAACCCCAAAATAGTTCAAGGTAACAGCTACAGGAGCAATGTGTTAGCACTTCAGAAGTGATCTGCAATCAATGAGGCAGAAAGGGAAAGTTAAAGTGAGTTCCAGTTCCAAACAGCTCAAGTAGTTAGTTACTTCTAAGTAGCAGTAGTAACATAACCTACAAGAAAGTGATGAGTAAATCAGAAAAACGTCCTGGATTGTACTCATATACATCCACTTAGCTTAATCTTCATCACCCCATGAACAAAATAATCTATGACCAAAGCAGGGCCAGTTTTTGTGAGCCATAATGGAAGTGATTATAAGAGGTTAAGTGCTATTAAAATTGGACACACACACCTAATCAAGAA